ATATATATATATATATATATATATATATATATATATATATATATATAAGTATAAAAAGAAACAGTATATAAGGTCTAAGATATATGCTATACACTAATAATGTAAAATAATATGGTATATTAAACAGCAGCCCGAACATTATAAAACTATTTGCAAACTGTTTGGAGTCCGTTCTTCTACAGTGAGAAAGACTTTTTACAAGAGAGAACGGAAGAAGAGGCGGCATGGTGGATCAGTTGGTGGAGCTGCCGCCTCTCAACAAGAAGGTTGAATCCTGGCTGGGGTGGTGGGGCCTTTCTGGGTGGAGTTTGCAGGTTTGCTCGGTGCATGCATGGGTTTTCTCTGGGTACTCCGGTTTCCTTCCACAGACATAAAAACGTGCATGTTAGGCTGATTGGTAACTGTAAATTGTTCCTAGGTGTGAGTGAGAGAGTGAATGGTTGTTTGTCTCGGTGTCCTTGTGATGGACTGGAGACCTGTCCAGGGTGTACCCCGCCTCTCGCAGTGACTGCTGGATATGGGCACCAGTGACCCTTGTGACCTGAAAAGGAAGAAGCGGGTAAAGATGATGGATGGATGGATGGATGGATGGATGGATGGATGGATGGATGGATGGATGGATGGATGGATGGATGGATGTATGGATGGATGGATGGATGGATGGATGGATGGATGGATGGATGGATGGATGGATGGATGGATGGCGGGCTGGCGGGCTGGCGGGCTGGCTGGCTGGCTGGCTGGCTGGCTGGCTGGCTGGCAGGCTGGCTGGCTGGCAGGCAGGCAACTGGCAGTCTTCCCAGACTTGAACATCCCAAAAAGTTCACCCACAGGTCAGACCAGGCACGTTCATAGAAGCTGCAAAAAGCCACGAGCTCCATCTCAGACTCTACAGGCCTCAGTAAACAGGTTAAATGGTAAAGTTCATGCCAGTACAGTTTGAAATAGACTGTGGCTTGTTTAGAGGAATTGTCAAAGTGTAACTTTTTGTCTTTAAATTAAGTGGCAGCACACCTAATGTATGCAAAGTTGCATCTGAGAAGGACTTCTTGAACATCGCTTGCACACTTGAGGTCAAATATTGTTTGGTCATAACGCACAGCTTCAAATACTAAAAAACACAGCACAGCCTTTCAAGCATGGTCACTAAAACAGGAGATTGTTTTACAGCGGCAGGACTTGGATACTTTGCAGTCGCTGAGTCGATCATAAATTCAGCTGAAGCTCGGCTAAAAGTGGATCCTTCAGTTTAAAGATGACTCCAACTAATCCATTAAAAAACTGTCGAAGTGTTTCAAAGCTCTTGTCAAAGTCCAGACATGAAAAATCTGTGCAAACATTAATAATCTACAGCAACGTTGTAAAGAATAGTGGACAAGAATTCTTCTGCAATCATGTGAGACTGGAAGTATGCCGCAAACAACTATGACTATACAGTAGTCCTTCGATTATCCCAGGGGTTACATTCGACCCCACCCCACACACACACTACCCCCCGCAATAAGTGAAAAACCGCAAAGTAGAAATGCTATATTTATTTTAGTGTTCATATATTTTAAGGCTTTATAAACCCTTCCTACACTCTTTAAATGTTCTTAACTCTTAAACCTACATAATTTTAACATCATACGTATATACCATACCAGCTTTATTTATAGAGCTCTTTAAACACCCACAGAACCAAAGTGCTGTACACATCATAAAACAATCATACAGTCAGATAATAAAAATGATTAAAA